CGGCGTCCAGCTCCGTGCCCCTGTACAGGATAACAACGTGAGAACAAGTACAGGATAACAGGTGGCCGAAAACAACGGCGTCCAGCTCCGTGCCCATGCACAGGATAACAACGCGAGAACAAGTACAGGATAACAGGTGATCGAACACCACAGCGTCCAGCTCCGTGCCCCTGCACAGGACAACAATGTGAGAACAAGTACAGGATAACAGGTGGCCAAACACCACGGCGTCCAGCTCTGTGCCCCTGCACAGAATAACAACGTGAAAACAAGGCCAGGATACAAAAGGCAAGCAACCGAGTCCAGCTCCACATCCTCTCTCAATGCACTAACAGCTTAGCTACGTAAGCTGCGAGACGTCGCCGAGAGATAACCATGATAAGGTAAGACCGTGCGAATAAAGCGATAATTACCATCATAAATAAACCTACAAATTCGCTAGATAACAAAATTTCGCAAATAACCCCGTACAGTAACCTTAAACTATCTATCAACACATGAACGACATGTGTAGTGCGATGCTCGTTATACTATGAAGGAAATTTAGCAGCAGAGGTTGTGTACATAAGAACAATGATAGAATAATTAGTTTTAGATTGTGAAGGGGAGATGAAACAGCAATTTCTTAACAGCAAAATAAGACAAATGTCGTAAGAGCAAAGAACAGTGACAGGTTTTGTTGCGTGAAAACAAAATTTTGAACAAATCACAGTGCATTGAAAGTAAATAAAGAATGTTGCTACTAGAAGCAATAAATAACGAAAATAGCATGAAGATCTTCAAGTTTAAAAATCAAATGAGAGTTCGAATCAAGGTAGTGAGTGAATAGTGGCTGAAAATGATGCTTGGAAAATCTACAGGTGAATTCAAAACGGGCGAAATGATGAATCGTTGCGAACAAATTCTGAACGATGAATCGTACCGAACAAATTCTGAAACCACTGAGGGATCAGATAATTTAAAGTAGAATTAAATTAACAGCTTACATTTTACCGAAGAAGAAGGGCATGTTGTCGAGGCGCTGCGCCAGCGCCCGGCAGCAGTTGTTGACTTCGTCGTAAACCTGTACATGCAAAACATTCATTAAATATCAAAGTATAGCACCAGTGAACTAAATTTAAAATAAGCATAGTCAAGAGGACAAATGTCGAAGCAAAGATATAGAAAATTACGATTTCCAAATATTCACTCTGTTTGAGTAATTTAAGGTGGATATGGAACGATAACCGTTGCCTTTGAGGCCGTTCGCAATTGTTCTTTCTTCATTTACACAGAACTGCTCAATAATAATAAATGCATGCTAAAACACGGCATAAATAAGAATAAAAGCATGACAAAACGAGGCATATAGGGTTCCTAGGCACAGCTTGTATATCTAAGCTAATTATGACCGGTGGCAATAAAAAGCCAGTCTATAACTAGCGTCAGCAGTAACAATGTTCGGAGCTGTCACTAATTATAAGACAGCTGCTCATTGAAATATACGCATCGTATAAAACTAATACATGATAAAACCTATACCAGCATGGCGCTAAAATGAGTCCTTGTAAGCCCTCTCCCACTGATGGGTCTAACTAGAAGGCCTCACCTCCTGCAGGGTCTCACCTCCTGCAGGGTCTCACCTCCCGCAGGGTCTCACCTCCTGCAGGGTCTTGTCCCGCCAGCCCAGCAGGTGCAGTTTCCTCAGCACGGCCCGCCGCCGCCGCCACGTCAGCAGCGCCCCCAGCGGCCACGGGAACACCGCGCTGTGCCGGGGCACCGTGACCGCCTCGTACGTGGGGGCGTAAATCACAATCCAATAAACCAATCAATCACAGTTGAAAAGTGATAGGATATGTATAATGTATATAATAAAATGAACTAGAAGTGGAAAGTTCCTGGACTTTCCAATCTTTCAGGTCCTGCTTTCCAATATGCTATGTGTACTGGTCAATTTAATATCCCTCTAGAATTCCACACTGCGTGAAGCCAACAGAACTTACGTAACGCATACGTTTTTTTTATAGTTTTTCATTTTTCAATGCGTCCTTAATGTGTTGGAATATACCGCGTTTACCCTAGGTACCTACCTAGGCTAGATCAATGTGTAAACCAGTAAATGCATTTTCCAAATGATGTAATTTGCCTGCTTTTCTTCTATGCAAGTTTGATTTTTCTCCATATTCACACTTGAGGGTCTGGGGGTTTTGATCCCAAACATGGATCTTCCTTAGTTTTCCAATTGAAACACTTTAGGCTTTGGAATTAGGTATACTTATTTGTTTCAGACTTTCATTGCTTTGATTTGTGAGCTGGAATAAGCAAATTTCACTTTGCATTTGGTCTAGCTACAGCACATCTTCTCACTTTCACGAGCGAATCGAAATTCTAACAGGGATTAATGATTATACGAGTGAGCTATTTGAGAGAATGCAGAAATATCCAGAATCAACACTCAACAGTCAGCACCTCAACTTTGCATGGAACAGCATACCTACATTACGCGCCCGACAGCGACAAATGTTACGAGTACCGTGTTCTTCCGGCTCCTTGCGTTTACGTTTCCGTTTTTTGAGAAGTTAGCCATCAAAACGCAGAGTTTGTCTTTTATCCTCGCAGTTCAATTTCTCATTTGTTTTTTTTTACAGCCGTACGTGATTATATTAGCTCACAAGTTGGCGATTTTGACCAATCGACGCAGGTTAGTGTAGGGTGCTCTAACTTGAAGTGATCGAACAATTTCTTGAGCAACCATCGGCTGAACCATTGGCTAACTGCGCGCATTCCTGTCGCAGTTCGAAGGAGCGAGATAGACTATCAGACTGACGACTGTTGAAAGTGTCGCAGTGAAACTGAGAACTCATTTTTTAAGAACCCGCGTAAACTAAACTATTGCGCATGACAGATACAGAGTAATGGGTTTTCAACATTAAGAATGCTTTTAGGTTGACGAACCAGTGCGGATTCAGTCAGGTTCCAGACTGAATCATGGTTAAACTATACTAGTTCAACTACTAGTTTAACTATACTATTTCAACCATGTATTAGTTGAACTAGTACAAGTTCAAACATGGACTGAACAACTTGAGACTACACGGTGTCGTGGGAACTGACTGAGGGATGAGAGGTCCAAGCGAGGGTCAGGTTCTATGAGGCTGCTATCATCAGATGGGTGATGATATCGTGGGTGAGGCATAGGAGCCCACAAGGGCCAGATGGGGGGAATGAAAATCATAGCGTAGAAAAGTTTTCAGAGGCCCCGGATGTCTGACAACGGGTTAGAGGTCTCCATTTTTAGCTTGCTCATTGCCTTGAGGTTCACCTTCCAGTTAAGGATTGATTTCCGGCCGCTTTAAAACTGAGACACATAACGCTGTCAGCAACGCTCTACTGTCATCGCGATATCATGCATGGTCAGCATGTCAGTTGTGCTCTTGTCAAATACTGCCTGACGTCAGCAGCGCCTCCTCGACTGCTAACTAACTCAAGCATTGCTAGCCTGGCAGTTAACATAACATAGTGATGTCGGCGCTAAAGTGTAGGCCTGATTTGCCCTGTCGCCGATTCTTTTCCTTTTCGTGCCTTGTTCACAGAAGATCTAAACTCGTGTCATTTGACCGGATCTTTTCATGACTGACGATAGTTTGAAGTAGCTACTAGACTTCCACCGGGTTCGATAAGGAGCTAGGCATTTCAAATCTGAACATATATTTTTCCATAGCTTTATCTAGTCTGTTCTTGAACGCGTTCATACTTGGAGCGCCAACGATGTCATCGGGGAGGCTGTTCCAGGCAGTTGTGCTCACTCATCCTGTAATTTATACACAAGAGATCGTAAGTACACAATGCGTGTTCATATAATTTATTCAGTGTTTTAGACTTTTAGTTAATCAGATTATTTCGTCTAACTTCTAGGTGAAAGGTGAAAAGCAACAGACCAACAGTTGCAAGAATTTAATTTAATCGTATCCATTTTCATCCTAAAAACCAAGATTGTGAATGACAACTAACATTTCTAAATAAGAGCCTTCAGTTAAATCTTCATCTGAAATCTATCCTTTACAATTCTTAAGGCGATTCAAAATCTTGTAAGGTAATTTCCGGCTTTTCGAATAACATGCGCTTCCTTAAGGTTACCAGCTTTTCAAGCACAGTTCAACAGAACATACCTGAACGTGTCTACACTTGCCTGATTACAAGCAATTATTTAGGAAGTGGCTGATACCGACCAAAGTTAAATAAAACAAATTTAAACTGAAACGTAACTAGTTATCTCAAGGCTAGGACACATACCCAGAAATAATTGCGGTACTCAACGCCTACGATGATCAGAGATTCGACAAGTGGGTTTTATGGAAATTCTCAAAAGATAATAACTGATAAACTTACGATACCATAATTATTTTCCAGCATCCAGATCTGAACCGGGTCGCGGCTGAGCCTTCAAACTGAACGAGGGCTTAAGAAAATATGTACAGGACACGTATCTGGATGCTCTATACTGTACAACAACAAATCATTTCTCTTATGTACATTATTGAGTAGTAGCAGTATTTTGTATCACTTCACAAATATGCACACGTTTCATAAAGTAATGTATGAATCAGACTTTAGTAGAAACATCAAAAGACATCCGCCGTTTCCATAATATGTGACTTATTCCTGACAGTATATATAAGGCAATTTCCTGCAATGTGGCCGTTTTTACAAGAAATTGATTAAAATAATCTAGCTGCTCAATGCATCACCAGGTACATTTTGTTCAGGAGTGATGTTGACCAGTAATTAATTACCTATTCTTTTGCCGCTCGTCAAGTTGTCAATCCCTTCAACAAATTTACATACACGGACCAACACTTTGTTCTCTCTGTTTCCACTCGCTGCCTCTGTTTCAAGTCCCAATCATGCCCCTGTTTCCAGTCACTGCCCCTGTTTCAAGTCCCCAATCAAGCCCCTGTTTCAAGTCCAAATTATGCCCCCATTTCCAGTTGATGCCCCTGTTTCAAGTCCCAATCATGCCCCTGTTTCAAGTCCCAATCATGCCCCTGGTTCCAGTCGCTGCTCCTGTTTCAATTCCCAATCATGTCCCTGTTTCCAGTCGCTGCCTGTTTCAAGTCCCAATTATGCCCCTGTTTCCAGTCGCTGCCCGTTTCAAGGCCCAATCATGTCCCTGTTTCCAGTCACTGCCCCTGTTTCAAGTCCCAATCATGCCCCTGTTTCCAGTCGCTGCCAGTTTCAAGTCCCAATCATGTCTCTGTTTCCAGTCACTGCCCCTGTTTCAAGTCCCAATCATGCCCCTGTTTCCAGTCGCTACCACTGTTTCAAGTCCCAATCAAGCCCCTGTTTCCAGTCGCTGGAACATTTTATCCCAAGTTTGCTCGAGGTGAAACACGTGGCGGTCACGGCTGGCTGATGTCCTCGAGTTTGTCGTACTCGCCGTTGCTCTCAACACCTCCCCCCGCAGGCTGTTGCGCTGGCGTCGTTTGTGAAGGAATTGGCTGAGGACTTTGCGTTGGAGGTTGCCCAGTAGGAGGCGCCGGTCCTTTGTTGCCCTTTGTAGGAGTCTTGAAGTATTCACCCTCGATGGTCCTGCAGAGCGAGACGAGGGACGGGTAGCTGCGCACCACCGACGCCAGGCCCGCGTCAGGCAGGGGCGTCGTCAGCAGCGTGTACAGGTGGCCGAAAACAACGGCGTCTAGCTCCGTGCCCCTGTACAGGATAACAACGTGAGAACAAGTACAGGATAACAGGTGGCCGAAAACAACGGCGTCCAGCTCCGTGCCCCTGTACAGGATAACAACTGTCTCTTATACACATCTAGATGTGTATAAGAGACAGCGTTTACAGGGTCCGACCAAAGGTCACCCACCGACAGGGATGTGGGCATTTCAGGGCAGGAGAAAAGATGAATGGTGTCGTGCGTGTTGGACAGACAGAGTGGGCAAAGTGGAGAAGGGTGTGTGGCAGGGACTATTTTATTTAGATATGAGAGAAGTAGCGGTGATTTATTTGTGCGAAGTTGGGCAAGGTTCCTGCGTGCAGGTCTAGGTAGGTTTATTTCAGATGGGTGAATCTGTGAGGACTTGTGCTGGTCACAAGTCACAGCTGGTCATCACTATCATCACCATCATCACAGCTGGTCATCACCCTCATCACAGCTGGTCATCACCATCATCATCACTGCTGGTCATCACCATCATCACTGCTGGTCATCACCATCATCACTGCTGGTCATCACCATCATCACAGCTGGTCATCACCCTCATCACAGCTGGTCATCACCATCATCACAGCTGGTCATCACTATCATCACCATCATCACAGCACAGAATGATTAAGTAATAATTGGGTTCACAAGATAATTACTTGGATTGTCCAGTAATTACAGGAATAACTTGCCAATTACTGGAAATTTTATGTTTTAAAAATATGTTCAATAAACTTCTTCATTCAAAATATGAAAATTCAAATTTATTTCTAAAAAATTCTTTTATATCAAAAGGGCAGCACCAGAAAAAAACTAAAAGTATCTTATTCTAGTCCATTAAAAAAGGATATCCTTTTTTTATAGCTATGGTTTTGGAGACAAAATTTCAAATAGTCAACAAATTCAATAAGACCCCAGGTAAAAAATTTGTCTACTGACAGAACTATTGTTCCCAGACCTTCAGGTATGAATTGCATTGCAGACAGTTGATGAATCCGTAAACATGATTCATTTCAGTCCTATTTGTTCATAAATTAAAAGCAGGATTTGAGTGGGGGCATTATTCAGTTCATATATTGAGTTCAAGTCTTACTGCAAGAAGCTGGGGTAAACAAAGTAAACAATATTTTACAATGACATTATTGCACTTGTTTACAATGAGCATGACATTATTGGCAGGCTTGTGAGGTGCACAAGTAATGCTACAAGATAGATACCTTAAGCTAATTATAAATGCTAAATCATAGATCTATACCTTAAGCTAATTATAATTGTTAAAAACATAGATACCGTGAGCTAATTATACATGCTAAAAGATAGTTACCATATGCATATCATATATGTTAAATCATAGATACCTTATGCTAATTATATATGCTAAAAGATAGTTACTTTATGCATATTATATATGTTATATCATAGATACCATATGCTAATTATATATGCTAAAAGATAGAAATATTATGCTAATTACATATTTCAAGTCATAGATATTTAGAGCTAATTTTATAGTATGTTTAGTTATAACTTATATATACCTTATGTTAATTACTATATATGCTAAAAGATAGATAACTTATGGTAATTATAAGGGAGGAGCTAAAGCTAGCTTACCTTATGCCCCACAAAGGTGATGATGTGGTCCAGTTCTGCCACCACAAACGCCCCAGCCTTGATGAACGGCACTCGACCTGCACACAATATTAGATATTAAAACAAATATTACAAATACCGGTACTTAGAACTAATATTTGTAATATAGGTAACTAATTAGAGCAAACCATTTGACTATTTTCAAGTAAAGCGAAGAGAAAAACAAAAATTGAGATATTCTGTCAAATGATCATCACTGCTGATCAAGTTTATTGGTGCAATAAACAGAAAAAAGGCAATCATCTTTCAAATAAATTTTTAATTATAGATCCATCAACTCAGATATGATTTATTCACATCATTCAAAGCTGAAAAGCAATAGCAATAAATAACAAATATTTTTATGGCTCATAAACTCATCTTTTTATTACGAGTCATGCAAATTTAATCATGTTTTAAAGATTATTCTTTCATTAAGTATGAGTAGGTATTCATGCAGTACATCAAGTTTTGATGTCCAATATTGAAATTCTATAAATTTTTTTCAAATACAAAGTAATTTATCAAGCAATTCAGTGTCACCAGCTTGACTCATAGCATACAAGCATGAGATTAAATAGTTTATATTTAATTTTAGTATACATACATAATGTATACATATACGTACATAGACACAAAATAATATACACATCTGTACACCAGTGTTTCAAACAATTAGCTACATAAAAATGCTCAACTCAATCATACAATTCTTTCCTCTTATGCCATCAAAATTGTAGTCACCACTGGGACTCATGTACTCAGCATTTGCCCTCTCCTCTTTCTTGTAGTCCAGCTTGCACTCACCACTGGGACTCATGTACTCAGCATTTGCNGCCCTCTCCTCTTTCTTGTAGTCCAGCTTGCACTCACCACTGGGACTCATGTACTCAGCATTTGCCCTCTCCTCTTTCTTGTAGTCCAGCTTGCACTCACCACTGGGACTCATGTACTCAGCATTTGCCCTCTCCTCTTTCTTGTAGTCCAGCTTGCACATCTTCAGGAAGGCCGCCACAGAAAGACAAGCAGCCGAGTCTGGCAGAAGAATTTGCTCCACCTCAAAGGGCTGGAAAAGCCGCACATCACTGGGCCACGGATCTTGAGCTAAATCACCAAAACAAGGTAATTTATGAATGACTAAACTCAATATTATATATTGAATTGATTAAATTTCATTTGGCTCTGCCGAAAATCTCAAAGAAGAAGACATTTCATATTATACCAAAATATTTGTTGAAATCTATTTATTTTTTCAAAAGCAGATAGACTTTTGTAATAACTGATTACCATAGTTTAAATGAACTCTTGTATATAATACCATATATGCACATTCATTCACAGAGATAAGAAATGCTTCCTATTCTTTTAATAGCAGTTCATTTCAATTAGAAAGAAAGAATTAAACACATAGCATTTCCAAACTTCCTCAGAGAGGATTAAATGCAATAGGGGAAACTGAAAAAAGAGTAATGCTAAATATCTTCAACTGCATATTTAAAGGGTTCTGATAAAAAATTATAAATGAACATAGGTATCTGAACATACAAATTACATTACAATCTTGGAAACATCTGCACAGCACATCACACAAGGCAACTTGTATGTTATTATTGGTTTCAGATATTATATATAGTATTACACAAGATAGTTGCAAATATGGCAAAAAAAACATACAGAATCACTACATAAAATTCTTCTCAGAATAGCTTATGAATAAATATAACTAATACCTCCCAATTCTGCTGAAATTGACTCAGAAAGCAAAACTTGAGGCATTTTTGGTTGCTTGAGAACAAAACAATCTGAAAATAAAAAGTAAGATTTAGTGGCAAAACATAAATTAGTGAATATATCTCTATCTTTATGCATGTTGAATTGAGACCTCTATTTAGAAATTTCATCTCCCTGGCAGACATGTTAATTTATTATACTTGTGGTGGAAATAGGCTTTAGCAGAATCATCAGAATGCAGATGTGCCAAGTCCATATTTTATTATTAGGGAGGCATATCTGTTTTTTTTTTTTTTTTGAGGGTGCACCCTCCTATTTTGGCCACCACACTCCTAAATTACTTAGGTACATGCCACACTCAGGATAATGTAGATTTTTGGGCAATTTTTCCGCGCATAAGGAGTTTTTATAACCAATGGTTGGCATAGTTTGAGCAAAGTAATCTAAATATTTTCTCTTTGTGCAGGTGTCAGCGCAAATACAGTTGTCAAGGAATAGACAAAAACTCAAAATATTCAATATGAGTTTAATTATCCATCAGTAATATATTATTTTCCTTGATATGGAAATTTTGATAGAGTATAAATCTAGAACTTAATCTTAAAAGACATTTTCTACAAATTTTCAATGTCAACATAGTTTGTTTACGCACCGTATCTAAGTAATCAAATATTCTGTACCAACGTGAGGCAAGTGGTGAAGAACCAAGTTCTCAGAAAGTGGACAAATGAAGTAATCAAATATTAGTGTTAGATGGCAGATTTTGCTTGTTCTATATATACCTACTAATAGTGCGCTGATAGGGTTATTAGAGGTTCTATGGTTAATGAAAGGAGTCAGAAATAATTTCTGAACACCAAATTTATTCAATTATAAGAAATAATTCATCATTTTAATTAATGGAAAAATAGTTGTGTGAAATCTTTTGTAAATAAAATGTCTAGACATAGCTGTCATTATAAATTCCCAGTGGAATGGTATGGCAACATCGTATATACAGACTTTTACGTAACACTGATACTACAGTGTGGAATTCTGTATAGGTAATATCTTCTCATGTCAATATAAGAAAACATATCAAAAAACCAACCCTACCACCGCGTTACACCACCTTCCACTGCAATGAAAATTGATAAACTGAGCTCATTAGAAACTGCGGTGGTGCTTCCCAAATTGCGCGAGGTTTGAAATCCAATCCCTTGTTGCCAATGCCTAATCAAGTTAACTAGTCGTTTATCTGTAGGCTAGCGGCATAGTGGCAAAGCAGAGAGTTTTTTAGACTCTCCCTCAAGTTCATTTTTGAGTCCTATAAGTAGACCAGTAAAGTATCCTGGATACCAGCATCATCATACATAAGAAATTGGTTTGCATCTTGGGTAAATGAGGAAATTAAAAATGAACTGATTCTAAAAACTCTCTGGTTTGTCACTATGGCTAGCGGACACATATTTGCAATGAATATGTTCTAAAATAAAAAAAACACATCCACATTCGTAAAAAATTCTCACAATTGGACAACACCAACAAAGTTTTCGATATCACACAAAATTATGAGATAAACTGCTTTATTACTGCTACTCTTCTACTGCGTACATTCACATCGTGCTTTCTATGTTTACATACGGTATTACAAGACGGTGTCACACACACTTATGTTTTGGTTGTGTCTAGTTTGATTTCACAATAAATAGATTTGATTCACATTCCATTCTGAGATTTAAATGATTGAAAGTTTTTTTAAATTATAAAAACCCATTTATACATTCCAGATTTTAATTTTTTCCATTTTTTGCCCTATTATGTTGAATTCATCTTAATAAATTCAGTTCAAATTCTGAATGATTTTGTCTGCCATCCCTCGTTTTTGAACATTTTGTGTCTTTTAGAAAATGATTGTTGTTTAACATGGGGAACTATTTCATTATATAAAACATAAAGCACCTACCATATAGTGCATTAATAGTACAAATTAATTTCAATAAAATAAATTTTTAATTTAAAAAATATAATCAGATTTTTAATTCAACATTTTTCTAATAGAATTTAATTCTATAGCATGTACCATCTAGTGTAGGTATTAAATAATAAAACTTGATTTAGTAAAATTTGATTTTAATTAATTTTTTAATTTAATTCTACAGCTTCAACCAGTGAAAATGAGCATCATAGGAATGAAAGTAAAACTGTCGTTCATACATCACAAATTGAATGACATTGGATGAATTTGATAGGTATTTTATTAATCCTGTTTATATATAAGAACGGAAATTACGCTTCTATTTCAGAATGATAATGGAAATGTTCCTACTATTTCAGAAACTTTTCTTGAATACACTTCTGAAAACTGAAGTTCTGTAATCAATGGAGTCTTGGAAATGATAAAATAGTTCAATTTAAAAATTTTAGCTGTAAGAGTGAGATTGTCATTCGTCAATATGAGGAGCATTCATTTATCATTTGTGAGGAGCTGCATGAAAAAATTTGTTGTTTTTGATGTAAAAGAATGTTTTTCAATTAGAAGAAATACAATACTTGATTTTTGGAAATACGATGCTAAAATTAATGATCTGTATTAGAATTCAATAGACGTTACGATTTCAGAATTATCTTCAAAAAGTTTGTTCATTGTTTGTTGAAGCTTTCATACTTCTGGTACTTCTGAAGAAAGGTGAGCTGACAGCTACACTGGCCGTGGGCGGGCCTTATTTGAATTTGAACGCATGCATCGATTTGAAATCCTATACGCATAGTATATGAGTCATAAATAGCCTAAATTTTTAATATCAATATAAAAAATATACTTTTCTGCATGGATTATAATGCTGTTAACATTAGCAAACTTTGAATTATCTCTGATGCAAGAAATACTTGCTTAAACAATTTTATTTTCAATGTAAGTGACTGGATGCAAAAATTGGTTCGCAAGAACCAAGATGGCCCCCAACAACAGTAATTTCAAATTTTCACTTGACGTTAATTTCTAAATTAAAATGTATTTAGCCAGTATTTCTTGCATCAGAGATACTTACAAGTATTTCAATGTTAACAGCATCAAAATCCACACAGAAACGTAAACTTTTAATAGGTTTTACACTGAAATTTACGCTCCTAGTCCAAAGAACTGAGACTGATTTCAAATAAAAAATGACTAATGAATCCATCGCGCTTTCTGGCACCTTCTTTCACAGCTGATTGCAGTTGCAGTGCATTTTTTTAGCTTAAGTTGCCAATACGTATTTAATGTAGTCTTCTGTAGTTCCGTTGGTACAAAACTTACAAAATAATGTTGAATTATTGATTGCTAATTTCTTGCATTAGGTAAATGTTTATGATTCAAATTAATCATAGAAGTTGTATCTCCATAATTCCATGTTGAATTAAAATTACCTGTAGAAGGTTCACATACAGATGCCAGCACTAGCAGCGGCAATCAAATGAACTACTTTATTGTTTAGTATCTTCACTAATAATATAATAATATCGTATTCTGTTTAGGTCCGGTCTCTTAAAGTGTTCCAGCAACATATTTTCCATTACTAATTATTTAAATGTATTAACTTGTGGTGCAATAAGATATTAAATTGTTTAAATTCTAAACAAAGATTATGCTTCCACATCCACATGCTAGCGCCAGCAGTGGCAATCAAAGGAACTATTTTATTGTTTAGTATATTTACTATAATAATTACAATATATTATTTTGCTTAGGCACAGTCTCTCAAAATGTTGCAGCAACACATTTTCCATTACTAATTATTTACATTTATTTGTTTGTGGTGCAGTGACATATTGCATTTTTTTATGTCACAGTCGAGCCTGTCAAGGTACCACGTGTTCTTGTGTGTGACGTCATCGCAGGCCTGCCCCGCTAGCCATATGTAAACAAAGCCTGGACAGCACGACACTGCAGTAAAGATGGGAACAGTTTTGCATTGAAATCGATGGTTATTTGTGAATAATATTTTTGATTGTGATATTATAACATATTTCTGATTGTGAAATAATTTTGATTGTGATATTGACACTTGACAGTAGTGTCAACATTTGAACATCGAAGTTCTAACATCATGAATTACAAGGTCAAAATGTAAGGACTGAGCAGAGCTAGAATCATGGCTGAGGCATTAACTGATGTCATTGTCATTTTTTACGTCATTGATATCATTTTGGAACCAACGTAAGTAACTAAGGAATTTCCCAGTTCAAATATTTATTGATGTATTTATATCAATTTCGAAACTCCACATATTTCTAAAGGGAGTTGTGATGAGACCATGGGGTCGAACTGTTGAGTTTAGACCATTGCAACTTGCAAGAGGGGCCCAAGGGCCAAGGGCATGGTGCCTTGCAAAGGGTTAAGACCGCCGCACGGCGGTAGACCGCCATAAGTACCTCTCTTCATAGAATTCCACTATGCTGTAGACTTGTCCATTCATATATATAGTTGTCACTTACTCTGATTTTGATTTAGCAATAGCAAGGTTGATAGAACAATTGCTTTAAATATTCATTTATATCTTGCAGTATTCTGTGCTGGATCCTCCTGAAGCAAAGCCGTGGAGGACATTTCTATTCTGTTGCCTGAATCCAGGATGGAATTCTAATATTGACGGTTCATATATTATTCCCGATACACCTACACCAGTTTTTTGATACAAACTTTTTTGAGGCAAAAAAATGAACTTCTTATAGGCTTAAAACACGTAGCCTATGGGTATGCTAAGTTTCTATAAGGTAATTCACTTGGAAATGTTGCGTGCCAGCAAGGCTGCAGGCGCAGCTTTCACTCAACAATTAAAATTATACAAAGTACTAGTTCGTTAAAGATTTGTCTCTTAATATGACTGCAAAGAAGTAAACTTAATAAAGTAATTACAGCTACCGTGACTATGCTGTCAAGGAGACTTTTTGATGATGCACACACTAAACACTCAATTCATGGGAGCGAGAATACATAGAACAACAAAAGCAGTCGCCCGGCATGCAACTGCAAAAACAAATGACGATCGCGGCAGGGGCGGCATGGATCATAGCGTTAATATAGTCAATGCAAGAGAATGATTAATTATGATATTTCTGATAGAGATTTGAAATATTTTTGTAAGCCTAAAACTATAACAAATTATTTCGTTACTTTGACATGGTTGATTTCAAAATAAATATTTTAATGCGAATTCATGAAAAATGTTTAAAATAAATTGAATAATGTTCATTTATATCTATAAAGGGGAGTAATTCGAGTAAACAACTACGAATCGATTTATTATCCTTTAAATAGGAATCTTTGCATTGAAACTTCTGGCAGATGTGTCCACCGCAATATTTGTACAGTGGTATCAAGAGTCAAAGCCATCAACCGATCGTTGGATGGCCGCAAATATGTCGCATTGTTCTACCTATTACAGTCAATAGAACCTAAATAAACTCTGTTCATCAAAAGGACAAAAAGCTTATGTATCAAACATTCGTGGTAGTACAATAAATTTTGAGATCTCCAGTCATGAGACTTAAATTCATACCCATAGGTGATCTTGAATTTCTGCACTGCGTTCAATTAAGTAATTTGTAAAATCATAAATTTCAAATAGGTACCAACTTTTTCAATTTAATTCTGAATGAGTCGCATCTGTTGATTTCTAATAGGGATCATTAATTTTTGCATCGTATTTCTGAAAATCAAGTATTGCATTTCTTTTAAATTAAAAACATTCTTTTACATCAAAAACAACGATTTTTTTCTTACAGCTTCTTTGATAATTGATGATGTCACTCATATAACTTAATATTTTAAATTTAATGATTTTGTCATTTCGATGACTTAACT